CCTGTAAAAATCTGCATACGCCGTACGGAGACCGCAAGGCGCCCGTAGTTTTCCTACGCTCGCCGCAGAAATTCACCGATTTAATTGATCTGTAGTCGACTTACGGCCGCCGTGCGACAAATGTGACTGGGGTGTTAGACAAATCATCCTGTCATGTTGATCTCCATTTACATGTAAACATCATCTATGTGACACTGATATCCATGCTATCCATATCTATGTTTTGATATGGATATTAAGATGAGTTATGCCATGTTGATATCCATTTACAAGAAAAGTTAGATTAATGGAAAGAGGATGTTAACACATATCAATGTCACATAGACAATCTTACCATGGAGATCGATACATTCACATTTCATAACATTCTTTGATTTTATTGTCTCAATGATCAAATATCATTTGTGTATCTGCCCCCTTCAAAATAAAGTCAAAGCTGTGAAACCCATGGTGCCAATATTAAATATATCCATATGTGACTTGTATTTCATGAAGATCCCATTTTGTTCCAACCATAAGCTTGACACTGGCCTTTTCAAAATTTAAAATTGACCTTTCTTCAAGAAAATGTTAAAACATATACATTTATCTAAAAAAATTCTCATTTACATAATATCGTAAACTCAGTCATGTTTATAACACATAGTAGCATACCCTTCTATTTAAAGCCCATGGTAAATCCAGAGTGCAAACTATTATTGAAGCCGTTTTGATATTGATACACATTGTTTACAGGGATTGTTTACATCGATGGTGTAGCAGGTTTTTGCTGCCCAAATGGAGCACGTGCCTATTGTCAGAGTAAGTTTGTTTGCAACAAATAAATGATACAATGCATATTTATATTCAATGCTGTATTGTACTAAAAATCCCTTTTGGGTAAGTGTACAGCAAATAAACATGATAATGCATATGACGTCATAAATAAAAAAGAACAGGTTGGTGCTAGGATTCGAACCCACGACCTACGCCTCAGCTTTAGCAAATCCCAAATCACAAAAGGTTGGTTCAACAATTCCACCGGATGTACAACACAAGTGTAACCGAGCTAAATAGTTTGAAACTTTTATTTGTTTAAACTTCCCGCTGTAAATTACTCCTTACGCAATCTCATTGGTTAAGAGAGTAGGTCGGCCATCTTGGATAAAAAGGCATGTTTCCAAATTTGATTTTTGAATTTCTTGTAGAAATTCACTTGTTTTTGCATCAATAAACCTAGGTTTAGGTAGAAAGACCCTTAATGAAGTCAGGTATGGTTGGATTTATTATATTTCAAACTTGACTTTATGAAGAAAACAGATTAGATTGCATGTTTTTTAGCATTGATGGGATTTTTTAGGATTTAATATTTTTTGTAATTTCTGTATGGAAAGATATTCAATTTGTGTTGATTTTGTGATTTATTACATGATTTAACAGTGTTTGTAAGACATATTTTGAACTCCTTCATTTCATTCTAGTGTTGATCAAGACCAGATGTTATATAGGTGTTCTATCAACCCCATGGTCTACAGGAGATACTAGTGCAGAATAGTTCCTGGGTAGGTTTCTAAGCTAGGATCTGTTTGACATGTTTGGTGCTGTATAATGTAAGATTACCATATATGCACAATTTAAAGACTTACTCAGATGTCCATATATGTACAAAGATTTAGCTAGACGTATAAAATATGTCTCAATCAGTTCATAAAAGTATACAGTAAATACGTTTATTTCATTACGATCTTGTCATTTTTGTAAGTCAAAGATCTGAATTGTAACTCTTTTATTTATTTTTGTATGTTCCAGGGTTTTTATTATGATATTAAGACAATAAAGAAACTAAACAAGGAACTCTGTAGTCCTTAGTTTACACAAGTATGATGCAATTTGGGCAAACTGATGTTTTCATGTTGGAATGAGATATCTTGGGATGAGAAGTCTTGGGATGACTTGTCTTAGGGATGACTTGTCTTTGGATGAGATGTCTAGAAACCATGTTATATTGCCTTTAATCCAACCTGCAACACCACTCTTCACGCCACTTCTATGAGCTGATTTAACATCCAAGCTGGGGTGGCGTAAATGACGAATTTCATCACACATTGCCAATACGAATATTCGTTACAATCATGTTAATTTTTTTTATTCAATTTTACTTTTAACATATGTACAAATACATGAATAATACAGTTCAATTATAAAACAAATTTATCCAAAATAGTATGAAATGCCTAGTACAATGTTAAATACGTGGGAAACATGTTTTTGTATTTTTTTTTCAGGTCAAAAAAATTGCAGATGCCAACATGGTGCAATCAAAGCCCCAGTCGCTCTATTGGTTGTGTTTCACAATGTTTAGCACGATTAACAGCAATGCGATTAAGAGGAACAATTTCAATTTTAGAAATAAATAAATTTGAAATTCATATAGTGTAGCCCTATGTACACACGGATTAAAAATATATATGAATAATCACATATTTTGTTGATTACTTTAATGAAATTGTACACATCCCTCCATATGATTGGCAACCTTAGCTCCTCGATTGTATAATTTAGTAAAGCATCTTTATGTTTGAATCTTTAGTTACGTAACCTGCAATGTAAATACTTATAATAAAGGTGGATATTTAACTTGACTTATTTTCCATACCTAAAATTTTACTAATTTTTTCCAGTCGGAAATTTATGAAGTGTCTTGAAAAATAAACAATGTGGAACTACAATTAGCAACTTCAATTGTCTACTGATCTAATATTACTCTTGAGAACTTGGCCATGGATGAATTTCTGTCACTTGCAATTGACTTGCGGAAAACCTTCCATTTCCTATTAGATTTATGCGAATGTCGATTTTCAAAAAATCATCAGTTTTGTAAAAAGTTTTCGACCTATTGAAAATTGTGAAATAATAAGACAGACTGATGTATAATGATGTATTTGAAATGATGTCAATTTGCATTATTTTCAGCCTTGAAAATTCAAAATTCTAAAATAAAGAGGATTTAACACGTAGTCCAATGGGGGAGTTAGGGTTGCCAAACTTGTGGAGGTGAGTGTAAAACTCTTTGACGACAAATGATAACTAGTGAAATAATAACGTTATCGAAAACCCCAAAATATCCACATGACCTACTTTATTCAAAGAAAATTTTCCAGGGAAATATATTACTTTATCGTATGATCTGTAAAATGAAGTCTTCTGATTGGTCAGTTCTTGTGCTGTACCAGTCTGTATTGCTACTGAGACCGTGCAATTGATCATCTCCGTCGCAATACAGAAGATATTGATACTAAAGGGACATTCTCAGTAGCAATACAGAGGATCACACAATGAAGCTGTTTTTGTCAAGTTATCATGTTGCTTTTATTCCCATAATAAAATGGATTAAAAATATAGGCACAATTCCAATAAATAACGACGCAAAACAAAATATTTTCGCAAAACAAAATCATTAATTCCGTGTTTTAGGTATATTTTCGCAAAACAAAAATTAGGCATTCCACGTTTAGTGTATATCTTCGCAAAACAAAAATTAGCCATTCCGTGTTTAGGGTATATTTTCGAAAAACAAAAATTAGCCATTCCGCGTTTACAGTCAAGCCAAGTAAGAAAGTCAACATTCGAAAATAAAAATCTCAAAAATCGTACATCTTTGATTTCCAAAATAATTTGTGAGATGGTTATTTAGATGATAATACACATTTTAACGCACTAATTTTGAGTACATCTCGAGTCAATTCTCAACAAAGCGTTCTCGAAATAAGTACATGTATTCGAAATGTTTGAGTTCGGGATGATAAAAGTACGTTAAGAAATACCGCTCCTTAACAAACTCCTTTAGGAACAAGATAAAGAATCAAATGCATATTCTTCCTATTTATTCCCTGACACATGCCAATGAATGTTGCATAAGTAAATATCTCCTTTTTAAAAAATTCTGAAAACGTTGTTCTCTACAGGTGCCATTTTTTATAATTGAAAAACAAAATTAAACATTTTGCATTTCTAAATTGATAAGTTTCTCGGAATACAACTTAACTGTAAACGATTTAAGTCATTAATAATATTTCCCTTAGTGAACCCATGCTGAATAGACAGTAACTGGGTCAATGTTTTGTGTTCAACCTTGTTTTCATGACTTTTAAACATGATTCAAACATGACCGTGCTCTATTCGAATTTACTCTAATGCTTGCAGATTTTCAACTTGTACATGTAAAATAAGCAACTAATAACAGGGAAATCCGATTAGATTGGGAAAACCCCACGGGTGAATAGAATGAGTCATCAAAATTTAATAGTACAATTTAGATTTCTAACATGTAATCTATCGCCACTTTTCAAATAACCTGAAAATTGAAACATTTCTCTTTTCACATTTCTTGCTTTTGAAGAGTTCAAACATGATTTACAAAACAATATTTCACTGAAATACACGAAGGCAATTAAATTATAGTTGATAATTGTCAATCTAGATATTCATTTTTATTTTATCAACACCCCATGTTTGCATACACCGTATAAAATCTAAAACGGGGAGTAAAATAGAACAGCCCAAACAAATTCTAAACTTTTTCCGGCCGACTTCAGAATCTTGACAGCATGCGTATTCTTCCCTAATGCCCGTTCCACAGACACGGCTTTTACTAATTTTTATGTTTGAATCGGAATAAATAATGATAGGCCATTCAATATCACAACCAAGAATTGTAAGAACTTGAAACATGTGAGTTTTTCAAACGGCATATCCTCATTCACGTTCTTTGACAAGGATGAATCCATTTGAAAACATGGATTTTCTTGATTATTCTTCAAAACTACCCTTGAAATATAAGTATGTAGAATATTACAGTGTAAATTGACACTCATTTGTTTGCTCAATATCCTGAACAAATAAATGCAGCACCGTCTTGCAATATTTGAAAACCGAAAGTTTATTCTGTATGTAAACAAGAAAAAATACATTTATGGTTGGTCATAATGAAAAATGACGAATAACATATATCTTTTGAAGTAGGGGTATACAGGGACACAGTAGAAAATCAGAAATTTAGGTCATATCCCAAAGATTGCTACACCAATATGGAACAGAACATCAAAATTATCATTTACACGTTTGCTGATAGGTTTATTGAAAATAATTAACCAGAGGTTTACTTCAATTGTGGCACCATTCTTAGTAAATATTGATGAACATACGAATATCGAATGTTGACTAAGCTACTTGTCTTGACCGGTTAATGTATATCTTCGTAAAGAAAAGTTTATAATTCACTATCTATATCATTTGTACCAAGATGTTTTATGTCCATAAATCTCTGATTTCCATACCCTTCTATTAGTTTTTCAACTTCATCAAAGTTTTCAATTTTATCTGAAATTTCTTTAGGATTTTGCTTAGAAAGTTTTGGTACGAAGCTTTGAGCCGATCTTCGCATATTAAGAAAACTCAAAGCATTCAATACAACAGCAGTGATATTTTTCTCGATTTGTTCATAAGTGTAAGTCCTTTGGTGTGGGTATTCCTTAAAAGTGGATAAACTATCAGCATAACCTTGGCGTATTTTGGAAACGTAGCGTGTAAACGCGTCCCAGTTGACTTCTACTTTAGTGACGTTTGGTTTTGCACGGCTGTTGAATTTCCCTCGAGCGAGCGCTAGTTGAAGCGATAAATACTGCTGTAGTAGATCCTTCCTGTAAACTATTATTACATTTGGTTGGCCAAAGTAATCAATTAAACCTTTCATCGTGAGATTGTTTTTACTAAGTTGTACGTTTGTCACTTTGAAGCCCACTAATTTAACATGAAGCTGTTTCTTTTTCATACTCTCTGCTATGTACTTATAAAGGGCTTCATTTGGGGGAACACCTCCAGTTATTGCGAGTCTTTCCGGCTTACGCTTTTCTAGGAGGAGGGCATCAAAGCACCATAGATCTGGGTGACGATTCATCAGCTCCTTAAAAACAGAAACTCCACTCCTCGGCATACTCAAAATGATAAAATGTTTAGCTTTATGTTCGTTTTTGGATTGATCTATAGCTTCAAGCATCCCATCATTTATTTTACTATCGCCATTTTCAATTTTGTGATCAGTCGCAAGAATTTCAGTAAAGTTCTCCGTATAATCTCGATCTGGCTCATCTTCAAGTGTAACTCCATTAACTAGCGGATCCTTTGTCCGCTTTGAGTCTTCAACAAGTTTGTCATTGCTATTCATTTCTTGTACCAGCCATATCACAAAATACGCACAGCAGCATAAAAGTACGATCGTTCGTATTTTCGGACGTCTTTGTCGTCTGATGCATAATGATTCATATTTAGTAACCAGGTTCATTTTCATAGTAAGGTCAAATAGGTGAATACAAATTTGTAAATTCTGGTGTCAGTTTTAATTTAGAGTGACTGACTTGATTTTAATAGTCAATAGAAATGCATTGTGCCATATGTACGCAGAATCAATAATTGATTTTTCGGAAAAAAAATCAAATTCAAATTTATTATCCCGCTGAACGAAGTTATGTATATAGATTTGGAGAAGTCGACTGTTTGTTAGACCATCCGCTCCGATGATAACTCAAATGGGTGACTGAATGTGATTGGATTTCTTTTTATTTGTATGATGCAAGTGCTTTATGGGCATATGAATTCTGCTGAAGATGGTATTTTTAATTCAAAATGGCCACAATCCTTTATCAAATGGTCATATTCACAGTGACACTGGCTTATTTATAATCATTAGATGTTTAAAAAGTATTGAATTAAATAATACTGAAAATTTAAGAAATCTTTCATTTCAGAGGACTCTCAATCGATTCCTGGTTAATTTCACCAAACATGTTGAAAAACGTGTTGTGGGGAAAGGTGAGTTCGGTTTAGTTTGTATGCTCTCTCTCTCTCTCTCTCTCTCTCTCTCTCTCCCTCTCCCTCTCCCTCTCCCTCTCCCTCTCCCTCTCCCTCTCCCTCTCCCTCTCCCTCTCCCTCTCCCTCTCCCTCTCCCTCTCCCTCTCCCTCTCCCTCTCCCTCTCCCTCTCCCTCTCCCTCTCCCTCTCCCTCTCCCTCTCCCTCTCCCTCTCCCTCTCCCTCTCCCTCTCCCTCTCCCTCTCCCTCTCCCTCTCCCTCTCCCTCTCCCTCTCCCTCTCCCTCTCTCTCTCTCTCTCTCTCTCTCTCTCTCTCTCTCTCTCTCTCTCTCTCTCTCTCTCTCTCTCTCTCTCTCTCTCTCTCTCTCTCTCTCTCTCTCTCTCTCTCTCTCTCTCTCTCTCTCTCTCTCCATTCTAATTGCTTTAAATGCAATCACCTGAGTTCATTGATAGTTTTTTAATTCTATTCATTAAAACTTCAGAGGAAATTCTATCAGAAGAATCAATAACAATTAATCTATATTTTTTATAATAACAAGCAACTGTTCGAGTAAGTAACAATGTACGTACAGTAAAACCTTTATATTAGAACACCTCTATAATATGAACATCTCTATAACATGAACACCTTCATATTGTGAAAACACCTCTACGAACACCTCTATATTGTGAACATCTCTATAACATGAACACCTCTATAATATGAACATCTCTATAACGTGAACACCTCTATATTGTGAACATCTCTATAACATGAACACCTCTATAATGTGAACGTCTCTATAATTTGAACGCATCCATGGTATGAACACCTCTATAACGTGAACCCCCTATAATATGAACACCTCTATAATGTGAACGTCTCTATAATTTGAACGCATCCATGGTATGAACACATCTATAATGTGAACACCTCTTAAATGTGAATCCCCTATAATATAAACATCTCTATAACGTGAACACCTCTATAGTTTGAACACCTCTATAACGTGAACACCTCTATAATATGAACATCTCTATAACGTGAACACCTCTATAGTGTGAACACCTCTATAATATGAACACCTCTATAATTTGAACACCTCTATAGTGTGAACACCTCTATAATTTGAACACCTCTATAGTGTGAACCCCCTATAATAAGAACATCTCTCTAACGTGAACACCTCTATAATTTGAACACCTATATAGTGTAAACACCTCTATAATATGAACCCCCCTATAATATGAACACCTCTATATTGTGAACACCTCTATATTGTGAACACCTCTATAACGTGAACACCTCTATAATATGAAAACACCTCTATAATATAAAATGCAGAGTGAATAATAATCAAGTCAGGAGTCACAGGACATAACAAACATACAAAATATGCGAGGTAAAAGTGCATGTGTAGTATGGCAAGTGATTTTAGACAGTCAAATCTTTCACCATGAGCACTTTCTGGCCACAAACTCATGTTTTTATTATAACAATATGTTTTCTTTCAAGTCAACATGATAGTTAAATACCAATCCAACTCTCAATCAAATTATGATATATGACCTCACTTGATTTATGACCCGCAATTTTTAAAAATATTTTCTAAAAAGAGGATATTGTTTTTTTCAATTTAAACATACCGAAAGTTTCTTCTTCACCATATTAACAATTAACATAGCTAAATATACTATGGCTGCACACATTTTTATACAGATGATTTAACACATAGAATAATTGAAATTAAACGCAAAATTAGTGATCTGATTCTAAAGTTTTGTTGTCATATTTCAATGACAGACACATATCAATCTGTCAACTCAATATGCTACACTTTAAAATTAAATTGCAATATACCTACAGGCCCCATCAAAACGTTTTCACTGTTAAATTATGTTTTTAATTTAGTATTATCCTCAGTTACATTGGTTTCAAAATGTTTGACTTTTTAGAATATTTAAGCATGAACAGGTATTGCCATGTGGTCCAAAAGGGGCAAAAATTTGGAGGATTTGATACATTTTTGAAAATCGACATTCCCATGGTAACCAATGGGAAATGGTAGGTTTGCAGTAAGTCATTTGACAGAATATCAATCCATCCGAGTCCTTGCAAAAAGTACAAGTTAGGTAGGCAATTGAATTTTATTTAACAAAAAATTGATACGTTTCATCCAGGTTCAAAAAATGATTTTCAAAATGACTTTGAAGCTCTGTAACTTTAGTATTCATCAAGTAAACTATACACTTAGTGTACAAAAAGTTAGACAATTCAATTTTCTGTATAAAACTATTTTTGCTGAATCTTTTACTGAATAGATATCCTGATTTCTGATTTGCCCCGAACCCACCATTTCCCATTGTAGTCTATTGGGTTACATGGAAATGACGACTCAAAAATGCATCAAGTTTATCATCAATTTTCGACCTATTGTAACTGAGAAAAAAATTGGGAAAATTCGGAGGTATTGGAAATAAAGTCAAATTACGTTTCCATCAATATTATAAGTTATTTCATCGCAGGTTAAATAGTAAATGAAAAATCAAACGTAAAGAGGCTTTAACACGTTGTTCAATGGGGGACCTAAGGTTGCCAAACTTATGGAGGGGAGTGTATATTGGGGGGGATAGCACCCTCCTTTCTGGTATCAGACTCGGAGAAGTAGGCTTCAAGTGCAAGATAGCTATGAGGATGGATACATTTTTAGGTTTTTAGATGTACAAATGTATCACTCTTGGAAAAATCCAGGGAAGGCCCCTGATATATACGATTCGATTTGTCTTGGAGTGTCTTAAAACCATATATAAAAGTGTTGTAGTCTGTAATTTTTCAGCTGTGATAGGAAACTTTGAATTCATTTTTAGAAATAGAGAAAAAAATGAAAAAAATGATTTGAAAAGCTTTTCTCCTTTTTATGACCACAATTTTTGTTTAAGACAATTTTCAATTTTAAAACAATAAATTGGGCACATTTTCTAAAAATTCAAAATATTCTGTTCAGTGACCTTTCGGAAATGCTAACTTTTAACTTTTTTCAGTCACAATTTCAGAGGGCTGAAAAGCTATTTCAGCATGGTAAGTGTCATTTTGACAATGACCATTGTGATCCCGGTCATGTAAATAATATATTGGAGTAGTAAAACTGATTGAACTTTAAATCAGAACTCTGTTATCTTAGTTCGAAAACTTCTGAAATCCACATTTCTTTTTCATTTCCCTGTTTGTTGTTAATTTCTGATAACTACCCCGATACCTTAAACCGGTCACAAAAAAACTTTACACTCCAAAGATAGACAATGTCAACCCCAAAAGAAAAAACGCGTAATTTTTAATAAAGCGGCTTGCAATGTACGAGGTTGATATATTTTTAAAGTTAGTAAAATTACATAGTTGATGAAACATATAAAAAATCATCGTCTAAAATACATTAAAAATATAAGACAAGTATGTGTTTGAAAAATTCTGTTCAGATAATTGTTACGGTAACTTATAATTAACTCATGGCAACGTGTATATAAGAAGTGATATGCAAAACTAACTTTTGATAGCTCCCATACACATCAACTGGTAGCTAAGGGACAGATTGTTCTTGCTTCACAATGGCAACACATCTTTTTCTCAAATTATTTTTGACATCATAGGGGTTGGACTATTTTCGGATGCCTTAATAATTAAAGCGAGACAAATTGCTGTGTGTGGCGTGTGGTTTTTAATTTCAGGTCTCATTATCAAGGAAATGGTCCTTAAATTTCTAAATTTGGGCCGATTTTGAGGTTTTAGAGGTCAAAAGTATTTTTGAAAGATGAAAGTTGCCCCTCCCCTGTTAGTTCTCGGATCCGCCCATGGTGGTAGACCTGTAATTTTATATTGCTTTTTCCCAGGAATGATATATAACAGGTGATCTGATTATGGCATTTATGGCTGAAGCAATGCTTGGGAAAATCAAGGTTGAAACAACATTGATTTAACACTGAATTAAACCATCTGGCAATTATTGCTAAAGCAATGCTTGAGAAAATCAAGGTTGAAACAACATTGATTTAACACTGAATCAAACAATCTGGCAATTTATGGCTGAAGCAATGCTTGCGAAAATCAAGTTGAATCAATGTTGATTTAATGTTAACTCAACATTGAGAAATGCTTGCTGGAGTGTGTATGCCTATAAATTGTAAATTATGTATAGTAAATGATCCAGTTGATTTAATGTGTTTATGATTTTACATCAATCATGTCGTCAGTTGTGTGCAGATATTGTCAGTTGATAGAAAACATTAATATTGGTTTTATTTGAATCTAAAAGCATCTTGATTTTTGCTTGAAATGTGATGAAAGGCATCCCTTGTTAAGCTTATGCTGTTATGGGGATATGTATGAATATTTGAATACATTCTTTCTATATTCTTAGATATCATCCCATGCATACATGTATGTCATACACTTGGCTTTTATTTGCCAAAATGCAAAAAACAATGCTTCTTCCTCGCCATCTGTATTATAGTGATTTGATAAAATAAATTTTGTTATGTGTGATTTGCTACTCCACGGAGTTGCTGTTTTTTCTGGCGCAATCACCACTTTTTATATGTGATGTTTTTCAATAGTTCAATTAAGTGTCAGTGTTTTTAGTATTTAAAGCAATAACGCATGCTATGGACAGATTGATTCTGATATAGTTGAACACCTAGATATGATTTAAAACTGTTCAGAGTTAAGACAAGATTTATTAGCCAAGTAATTGGTAAACTCTTGCAATTCTGTAATATTGTACTAACTCGAGAAGTAATGGTTTTATCACTTGAAACACATACAGTGAACACAGAGTGAGTGATGCAATAATTCCAGGAACATGTATAACGTATAGAATAGAGTTCTTCAAAGCTGTCTCTGTAATATCCTAGATGCGAAATAAATAGAAATAATCTTGATTTACGTCATTAAAAAATTGAAATTGAAATGAGTTAATCAACTTTGATTTTAATTTTCTTTGAAAATGTGACTTCTAGGTCGGGGGATTCCCCATAGACCCCATGTTGTAAAACTACAATAAGTGAAATATCTTTTCTTGTGTTGGGCAGATAATATTATTTTAATTTGTATAACTATTACATACATAAGGGTACCATAAGTGAACCACTAAAACTGATGCATATTCAAGTTTAAGGGAATTTTGTAATACCCTGCCATGTTATTTCCCCCGAATCAGCCACCTGGTGGCGAAACTGGTAACTACCTTCTCGCATCTGAGTAATTGGCTAGAGTTGACTCGAGTAAAATCAGTGCATGCATTCAAGTTTTAGTTTATATTTGCTATCGGCTATTTTCTCTCATTATGTAAACCTGTGTATTGTTACCATTTAACCAGTAAAACGTATTGTTATTGCTGCTACGAAAGTTTGCGATTGAATTTCTACACCCTTCAGCGTACCATGCCCATATTTGTTGGAATATACATCCATCCCAAAGTAGCCAAACCCGTTCTCAATGTAAAATGGCCACAATGCACGTCCTTCTATGATATCCGGCTCTTCAATGAAGTCACATTCATTGTTAGGTAAGAGGTAATTAGTGGTAAAAAAACCTCCCCCTATTGGAATTGTTCCATTCCATTTTCCTAAAATAACCAATGGGATTTATTAGAGTCACTGCAAGACAATATAATTCTTATGAATATCACACAAATATCATAATTTTACATACTATATTTTGATGCTCTTACCTATCAAGGTTATTGGTCTTTTGGCAACTGCTACGAATCCCATTTCTACAAGATATGTGTTCTTATAATATTTCACACGTCGATGTGGCATTGTCTCCGTCACTGTCCTTAGCTTAGCTTTTAAGATAAATGCAAAGACTTTATAATCTCCTAAATCTACAGGTTGACCTTGGCACAGCTGCTCATCTGTCAAACTGCTCACATCAATGCCAAACTCTTTGAGATATTCTACAAATTCTCTTCCTGAAATACAGTATCTCGACTTGAATATGGACAACGGCTGCACAAGGGAGTATTCGGCTAATAATCTAAGACAGAGAATCTGGGAAACTCGGTAAATGGCAAATATGTTGGCACGAAGGCTTCTCTTGTATTCTCTTGAAAAAGCTTGTTAACAATTATGTAAAACTCCAGACAGTAATGAGTTAAAAATGAAGGTTAATGAGTGCAAAAATATATGATGACATTGTAAGTAATGAGGCAAGAGGTGCTATGATAATGTCAAAAGTGTGAAGAAGGAGAAAAAAGCACTAAGTATTTTTTACAACTAGAAAATGTTAAAGCGAAACAGAAACTTATTACACATTTAAAGCTTGATAATGGTGAGGTAACAAGTGACCTGGAACATGAGAAACGACTCAAGTGCTTTTTATTAAGTATTTTTCATAAAAGATTAGGTAACTTGACTGTGAACTCATTAAATAAGTGTTTTATTAAAGGAGCATTGTCACGCTTTCAAAAGGGGATTAATGATATTGATACCAAAGAATGATCTGCCAATGGATGAGTTGAAAAACTGGAGACCCCGAACTCTCAGAAATGTGGATTATAAGATTGTTGCAAAGGTATTAGCTAATAGAATAAAACAAATTATCACCTCAATTATTCATGATGACCAATCTTGTTTTAATAAAAAAGCGAAGTACATCAAATATCTTAAGAACAATTGATGATGTTATAATTTATCTAGATAATAATAAACTTCAAGGTATAATGATGGCAATTGACTACCCTAAAGCATTTGATTCAATATCTAATAAATTTATGCTATTCTCAATTGAAAAAAATGGTTTCGGACGATCATTTATAAAATGGGTAGATGTGCTCAATAGAAATGGTCACGATCACATTTATCATAACGGTTGGCAATATTAATTTATAAAGGGGCATTCGTCAGGGGTGCCCATTATCTCCAGTTACATTTATTATTACTTGTGAACTGTCATCCTGCAAAATAAGGCAGCAAAATGATATAAGAGGTATAACTCTACCAGATGAAGAAATTTTTAAATTGTACAATTTGCAGATGATACTACAATGTTTGTAAAAGATTCACAATCATTCTTATATTTCCATTGATGTCTTGAAAATATTTTCCAATATATCTAGCTTAGATAAATAAACTGAAGCCATTTGGCTTAGTTTATGGGAAAATAGGAAAGATACTCTTGGTAAAGTCAAGTTGAAAATCAAACCTGAAAACTCTATTAAAGTATTAGGAATCACGATCAGCTAAAATGTAAAAGTGGTAAACAACAGTGTAAATATTTAATATAAGTTTAAAATGTCAAAGTATTATGAAGTCTTGGGAAAACCAAATACTTACTATTTTGGAAGAATTGATCTTGCAAAGTCATTGATTATATCATAATTTTCCTATCAAATGCAAGGCTTTATTTTACCAGCGAATATTTTAAACAGAATAAATGCAATGGTTTTCAAATGTATCTAGGCCAAGGTAAAATTTAAAGAATGTGACTTAAAGACTGCCTGAGAAAGTTAAAAGAGATGGTATTGTACAAGACTATTCTGAAGGTGGTCTACACATGATCAATGTTAAATACATGCAAATTGCATATACATTACAGTGGGTCAAAAAACTTAAGGATAACTCCAAATGGCATTGGAAATCTATTCTCTTTAATATATATTATACGTTGGGAGTAAACCTCTCTGTTTTTGGAAGTAGCATTTCAGCTGGAAAAATGAGTGGACATGAAAACTGTTCTGAATTTTATGCTGATATCTTGAAAATATGGATGAAATATTGTAATTATAAAGATGAGTATATGGTATGGAATAATGACAATATTATAAGAGCTAATAAAACTCTGTATTTTTCTAATTGGATTGAGAAAAAACTGATCTACATTAAGGATGTTATTAGAATAACAAAGAATTAATACGGTAACCATAAGATGATATTGCTAACATAGTAGGTAGACATGGCCAAGCATTTTTACAGTATCAGGCATTAAGAAATGCTCTAAAATCAGAACACATCTTTAGATGATATAATTGTAAAGATGAACGTGTAAATGACAAACTTTACTTCAGAAATATTGATATAAGATATAACGTAATGGATAGCGACAAATGTAAATTCTGTGGTGAAAATGACAATGTGTCCCATTTTTTGTTAATTGTAAAAAATTAGACCTATTTGAATGGGAAATGCATGTAACATTTGGAACGTCTAGGTGTAAAACCAACAGGAAAGGGGATATTATGAAAATCTAATTGTTAAGAGAGTGGTGCATTTGTGGTGAGTGGTGAACAATTCTACTTAAATGTAAATAGTTTTTAACTCTGTATTGTAATTGTAATTCTATAATTGCATATGCATACATGTTAACGTTGTACATATGTTAAGAAATAAATAGATTTAAAAAATCAAACAGACAACCACCAGTTGTGAAAAGTCTTGTGGGGTTTAATGTCTGAATAAAAATAAGAAGCCAATTTATTTATTGTAATCCAAAAGCTAATATAATGCTTATAATTATGATTATTTCATAGGTAAGACATGTCACAACTTAAAGGTTGAAGAATTAGTGAAGAGACGTGTCCAAAGATCATGGACCCTGTGTCAAAATATATCGAATTTTGGATATTTCATCAAGGCTAACAAATATTTTCATTATCTATTTTAAAAAAAATCTCAACTTTCAAAGTAATGACAAATAATCAATTAATGACATATTTCATTCAACTTTACATGGGGACTTTAATATAGTTGCACCATTCATGCTAGTATCATCCGGTACCAACACCAATACTTACACAAATCTCATACACTCACCTTTCTTAACGATTTCTGATCTTGTTTTGACTCCAAATAATTTCCAGGTTTTGTGCAAGACTCTTGGTCTGGCAAATAACACTGGAGGATCTCCATCTGCTAGAAGCGATAATGTTCTCTCTGTAGAATTTCCTTCTTGTACAACTTCTCTTTTGCATCGCTCACATTTTGAGGAATCACCAAAGTCCACAAAACTGATTAGCGAAATAAAGAGAATGCTACATTTTATTAAACACATGATTTCTTGTCAGCCCCCTTTCGACGTATGTCACAATATAATTTAACTTAATGGTCAAGTGAAACACGAGATCTTACTAATAATGTAATTGTTGAGAAAAATGGTTAAAGTGTAACAGAAACATAGGATAGCTAAGACAGTGTTAAACTAAAGAATTTAAGCCAAATAACTCAACAAATTATACATGAATAAACATGAATGCTTGCATTAAATCATCCTAAATTTATTGAGTTATGTGCTTCTTTTCATAGAGCGCAAGGGATTTTGTCGTAAATTATTCCCTAAAAATGGTTTGCAAGGAAACCTACTTAACTTGAACGACATCGCCATTTTACAATACACCAAGCACTGTTACATGTACCGTATTATCTGTTTAAAATTGTTTTTATTCTTCAGAAAAGTTATCAATATATTTTGAAGAAATTAAAAATTTTCAAAGTACTTGCCCTATACAATTCTAGCTAGAATTTGAAACAGTATTTTCTTGTATTTACTGTAAACCCGAAAAATTTTAGTTTAAAAACATAACTCCCCCCTCCCCCTTTTCAAATGAACATGTTTCTTTGAAATTAACACTTGACAAAGTAACCATTTTCTGACACACTTTAAATAATTGAGGATGTCAGTAGATCACACATGCTTTATTAATTTTTTTTAGATTTTTTATCTATCATATTACAAAAATATAAATGACTCTTGAAATAAATCAATATATATTTGTACATGTAGATGTCAAATTAATGTCCCTCAAGTACATACATATATCACTGAACATCGTCCAATTTTAATAATATTAATCTTTGCCAATTCAAACTCAAATGCCAATTCGCAGATTTGGTTCAAATTGTATATGTTGTTGCCAAGGGACAAAGGAGCTCTGCTAAAAAAGAGATGGCCTCTGAATTTCAAAAAGGCCGCCATTTGTCATAACAAGTAATCGTTGATAATTCAAATACCAATGGAAGTTCAAATTTTATACGTTGATGCCTATGGACAAACAAGTTCTGCCCGAGAACAATTTTCCAAGATGGCGCTTGAATTGAAAAAGCTGTAATTTTCAAATATCAGTGGATGGATTCGGGTAAATTTTATAAGCTGATATGCCCCGTTCAAGAAGATGTTTTCAAGATGGCCACTAATTATTAAAATATGTTCTGTTCGGTTGGATTTGCTACTCCGTGTCGTTGCTGTTTTTCTAGTTATTCTCGAGTTAAATTCATTGACAATGACATTGCTTATGCTGTCATCATTCCCAAGTTCATTTCATTTTCAGTGTTCAGTGTTTTCATTTTTCTAAAGTTTAATTCACGAAGAGCAACACTGGAGCCATACTCCATACTAATGGATACCTCGATCAAAATTCTGGGTCTTTGCTTTCAGATAAATTACTTAGTAAAATGTGCAAAAACAACAATCTTTGTTTCACTGGACAATTTTATTCATTAAAAATATCTATGTACAATGCAAGACCCTGAGGTTTCATCCTTTTTACTGATGGGTGAAAGAAATTCACTTTTGACTTCCCATATCCTAATATTTCTCTAAATTCCTTTGGAAGGCAGTAATACGATCTTCTTACACAGTCCTCACATAAACATTTGCCTTCTTTGTAAGCCAATTGAAATGGTGTTTTCATAGACTAGAAGGCAAAAAAACGTCTTCTGAATATCTTATAACAGTTGAATGAATATTAGCCTTGACAGCCTTTGTCAATCCTTTTTATTCATGCATTCTGTAATAAGAATAAGACGTTAACCCGGAAATTGTTAGCCTTGACCTAAATTCCGTGAACTTGGAATGCCTCTGTTAGTTCTACGACTACTCCCCGCTTGAGAAGTATTTGAACTGAATAGACTAGATGCGAGCAGAAATAATCTTGATTTACATCAAAAATTTTAAATGTAAAATTACATCTAGAAATGT